ACCGGCTTTTTCACCGGATAAGGGATCTTGAGTTTACATACGGTTCTTTAAAATATTAATTGTTAGAATGAAAATACTCTACTCAAAAGATTAACCATTTAGATAGAGTAACGTTTCCATCATATAAATTTTTTATTCTTTTCAAAGTTGTTGTACTGCCCAACAATTACTGGTACTATTATATAACCCGTAATTATTATTATTATTTTTTTCCACATATAATCCGTATAAAAACATATAATTCAGGTCAGAGTGATCAAAGCTGCCTATTTGACGAACTCAACTACGTATGCAAGCTAGTGGAAGTGATCAGTTTCTTTCATGTTGTTCAAATAAAGCAATGAGTTTGACCTAAAAAAATTTGAACTCTTAAATAAAGTGGTCCTAACTTAATGTGATTCTCTCTCTCTCTCTATATATATATTATGTTAAGTTCTTCTCTTTGTTTGTCGTATAGATTTATATACGAAAGAGACTGACAATAATAGTTTCAAATTTGACTTTTTTTTTTTTTTTGTATAGTTAAATGTCTGTGTCATTATTAATTTTGGTCTTAAGATGGAGCACAATAAGGCATAACCGTAAAAATAACGGTCATCTTCAGGCAACCATTTGATATATACTAAAAGTCAAAAAACCTCACCAAGTCGCATCCGAACTTAATGGTATTCAGTCCTTAGACTCAGATTTTAATCAATAATATTAATTCAGCCCTCTATGTATTTTAATTCAATGTTCGTCACACGACATGCTATAGTACTGGAAAAATGGATGACCAATCATTTTCCTTTAAATATATATATATAGTCAAGATATATTGATAATTATATGTATAATTTGGTCACGGTCAAGGTTCTAGCTTCTGATTAGTCCAAGACTACAATCATATACTATTTATATATAGTTGTTGCAACATATTTCGCGGGAAATTAAACACGAGTCAGACTATAAGATGTGCTAATAATAATGCAGTTTAATTGGCTATTTTTGTGTGTATATTATCTTGATAATGATAGTCAAAGCATACAAATCAAATTCCAAGTCAGATTTTGGTGTGTGTGTGTGTGTGTTTTTTCCTCACAAAAACAGAGACACGATTATTTTTTTTCTTTTCTTTTTTGGGTAAATATATGTTACCAGTAACCACACCATTTTGCTTGGTGTGGAACTGGAATCTGTGGATAGTTTCTTGTTAATATACAAATATACTTATAGATAGACATTAAATAAGTAAGGGCTAAGTAAGTTGTTATTCCAAAATTGTAGGCAGGTCTCCACTTTCATTTATTCAAATTATTCAGAAATCAAATGATAAAAATAATTGACAATTATCTTAATAGGTCTCTTCTTTTTTTTATCCCTTTTTATGACTCTCCGAAAAAAAAAAATCTATTGGTTTACCATCAAATTACTCTCGTTTTCATCTCTTTTCTTTCTCTTTTGCATGTTTCATGTTTTTACTCCAATTGAATCACGAACGCCTGTCATTTACAAATAAATATTAGTTATTTTGTGTACAACAGTGAATGAGTTATATATAATTGTGGCAACTTAGCATTTTTCGGTCAAAATTTGGGATTAGATGGAAAAAAATAAATAAATAAATTAAGAACATTGAGTATCTACTTCTATCAAGAGAGGAAGCTATCAAAGTTGGGAAAAGTTATACTTACCACGTATTAAAAAAAAAAAAGTTCTAAAGTTGAAAATGAAAGAAAGAAAATGACTTTAAGAGAGAGCATAAACACTTCACAATTTTATGATTATAGATTTTGAGATTTTTATTAGACCATATTTGTTTTATTATCTTTATCTAAAATAATTTGTTTTCATCTCCATTTTTTCTCTATTATGGGTTCTTTTTCAACTTCTCTATGTATTACTGTGATTAATCTCTCTTTTTTTATCTCAAGTTGATGCGTCCACAATAATTTGTGTTTGTATGTAAGAAAAACTATCTCATAATAAAAAGTCTCCCTATATAATACACACCTCTCTATTCCCCACTATCCTTTCCTTTTGTATCTTCACTTCTCCTACCCTATTCTTCTTTCTTGATGACCCCACGTTTGGGATCGTGACCCATTTTAGAACTGGGCTTTTGTCTTTTTCTCTGGGCTAACCCGTGTGAGACCCAAATAGCTTTTCTTGACGTGTAGCCATTTGGGTGGTACAGTTGGTGACCAACCATTGAGAGTTATTTTGGCTCCTCAGTGTTTTAATATATTGAGGGCAATTTAGATGTTAATAGAAGAGGAGGAAAGGAGTGAAAGCGAGAAACAACAACGACACAGTAGATAAAGAGTGAATTGAAGCAAGGAGGAGAGAGAAAAAAGTTATGTATTGAAATAATTTTTGGATTATTTTTGTCATTTATTATGTAAAGATATAAAAGCAAAGCCACTTATAATTTTGGAGTGTAAATATCGACTCCCATAACAATTACATTACTCAATCAAGTCTATAACTACAAATAATAAAGAGATGGAGATATAAATGAATAAATATACACTCATATATCACTATTATTTTGATAATTAAAATTAATTAACAACATTTGTGTTAATCAATGTAAATAGTTAGTGCCACATGGGACACTACGTGTCCTACTAAATAATAATATCAAATAACTGGTCAGCATTGAGTGGGTCATATTGGGCCCCACCTGACACTACTCAGGAAGCCCTAAGAACCTCGAGCTATTAGGGTCGAATGCTCATAAGAGGAGGGGGTCGCTACCCCTCACTCTCTTGCCACAGCGGTGCCACATTCCAGTCGGATGGGTCCCGCCATAACTCAAAGGCCCCTCTTTTCTCGCAACACTTGGGATAGGGGCCTGAGGGTTCTGCTAACTGCCATCCTCGAACCACCCATTTTGGGAAGCTCGAGGAGCTCGAAAGATAGGGAAACGCGAGGCCAAAGAAGGCAGAGCCTCGGAACCTTCCCCTCTTCCCCCTAAGGCATGGGAATCTGAGTCATAATTGAAGGGAGGCTGAAATTCAAGGTACCGCCCTGCGAAGGGCCCCCCCCCCCCCCCCGTTTGAGTCAGTCGGCGCATTAAATGCACTGAGATGACTTGTGGCACAGAATCATCATTACATCACCTGAACCAAGGCTCGCGTTGCCTCAAGCCACCTTCTTGACGTTCCATCAGTCAGGAGGGGGCCCCTCTTGCCTAATGGTCAAGGGGAGGCGACCAATGGTCAAGGGGAGGTCTCCCCCCCGCAACCAGGGGACATTACCCAGACGTAGTAATCAGAAGTTAAAGACAAGAAAACAAGAATCATAAAGACCTACTATCGGACCTCGAGCTAGACAAGTACTGAGCAACTGCCTTCCTTCTCTTAATCTTCACTTATGAAGAATCCCTGGTATAGCTTGAGTTCCCACTCAGATACTAATCTCAGTATTCCTGATTTACGTGGAATGATCTCCTCGCCCCATCACCCATCACTATCAACAATCAACTAATAATAAAACGATTTAAAAAGAAGATTTTAGTAACCAATTCTAAACAAAATTACGATGACCAAAAAATAAGAAAAAAAAAAATGAATAGTCGCCAAATTAAAATTTTATTATAGTGAAAAGAACGTTAGAATTTATTTCCTAAATTACCCTTCACAAATTAGACACTTTCAACTAATTTCCCTTCTTTCAAGTTTCAACTCCATTTACTAGTAATTGGAGGTTTGTCTTCTGTGAAATTTCAGATATATGTGTGTGTGTGCGTGTTTTTGTTTTCACAAGAGAAAAAAATAATTGTTTACTTAGGTCCAAACTTATGGAAATTTACTTAATCTTCGTTTGGATTGAGTGATTTGGTAAGAGAAAAAAAACAAAAAGGATAGTGAAAATCGCATTTGGATAGTTTTTAGTGGAGAGAAAAGAAAGGATTGGGAAATAACTATCCCTCCAAATCCCTCATGTGCCATCTCCCAAAAATGAAAAGATTTGGAGGGGAAGAAAAGTGAGTAAATAGTATTTTCATAATCTCGAAACTACCTTTTTATAAAATTTGGATAGTTTTCATACAGTTCAATTATGAATTCGGGAAGCCCGAGTTTGCACTTAACATGTTCAAGAAAATGGTTGCTTTATTAAATTCTCAAAGAAGAGTATTTGAGGAAATAAATCTCAATCTGCAATTATGTTATAATTTTGGAGACTATTCATTTTTTTTTCTTATTTTCTGGTCACTTTAGAACAGTTTTTTAAGATTGGCCATTGAAATCTAATTTTTCCAAAAAATTTACATGTTATGTTAGAAAATATATATGCTTATATATATATATATAGTTATAGATAACAAGAGCAAGAAATTTAACTACACCAAACATAATTATTCTTGGATATGATGCTATGTTTTTTTAGCATGAATAAATTCTTTCACACCAGGTGAGGAAGAAATCATTACTCAACATATGTTAATTAAACACTAGCATTAATCAGGTCCACAGACGCAAATAATGAAGAGAAGGAGATTTAAATGAATAAATCTGCACTCTTTCAATGGTAGTCAACCTAAGGGTGCAGAGGAGTGAAGCAGCCACTGCATTCAGCCACAAACGTCATTGAAGTCAGGCATTTTCTATGGTAGTGCTTATTTTACGAAAAATAAGAACACAAAATCATTGCTATGAATACGCACACATATAGTTTAGGGAGATTTTGTGAAATTAAACCACTGAAGAAATAGATGGAATAACACATCATTGCTATACGTACAATGTCAAAAATTAAACTTGTATCGTATTTCCCTCATAGCACTCTTCAAGACATGCATTGAACATAATGTACATGAAAAACTGGATAATGATCAGCCAAAATGATGACAGATATAAAAGAAAGCAAGCACAAATTACCAACACCATACGTATATCATCTCAGAAACAGTAAGTAATAGCTACTGAGAAAAAACAACCATCAGCCTAAAGCAAATAACATCAACAATAATAACAGTTAAGAAAGAAGAGAGAGACCACCATAACACAGAAAACTTCAGTTCTTTTTGTAAAACTGGTCCTTATTATATTGGAGAAGAAATGTCACATGGCATGAAAACCAGCCAAAGTAATGGAAAAACCTTTACTTTGGCTACACCCCACGCCAACACTAGTAACAGATACTAACTATTACAAGCAATATTGCCTACTGATCCTAATCTAAGACCTTCAGCTAGATGTTAGCATGCAAACAAGTAAACAGAAAAGCTAGTGATTTATGCATATTCAACTTTGCTTCTTTGAGAGCCCAAAACATCATCAGAAGATGATATATATATCTCACCACGGGCTAGTTGTCGATTCTCCTCTCTTCCAAAATCCTTGGTATCTGTCCTATCAACAAGGGTTGATGTGGAGATCAAGATAAATTTGCATCAATTAGCGCATTGACATCAAAGTGCGTACTCTTTTTTCCCTCTCCGCCCTCTTTGCACTGGGGGTTCTCTTCAGCTTATTCAGTTCCTCCATCACCACTTTCTCAACTGTGTCAATTGAGTTCAGGAGCTTTTTTTGGGGTGTGAGGATATCTGATTCTCCAGCATTCTGATTAGTGATATCAAGCAATATCTTTGAGACTTTACCAATAGATTTGGAGCCAGGCTTCATTCTAATTGTTGAACTAGGAGACATCATAGAAATGTTGTGCTCGAGTTGAGCACCGGGTGTAGATATTGTAGAATCATTAAGAGCAACTTGGTCCTGAGGTATTGGACTCTCAATTTCTAGGCCTTCGATTTCTCTCAAGCGAGCTCTTCTTCTTTCAATGGCCTGACAATTCATGATCAGATTCATCAAGAAAACAAGTGTTCAAATATTTCCACAGATAAGAAGAAAATTCTATAGAAAAGGAAAAATGAACCAGAAGCCAACTACATCTCATATACTCTATTTCTACTTCAATTCAATGGTAAAAGTTAAAATTGCTATCTGACAACACCAAAGCTCATAATATTTCTTATTCATAGCATTGATAAATTGCAACATACTCTAGTTTTTTACATACAAGAAGTTTAAAAAGGTTGATCTAAAACAATAATGGAGAGACCACACTAACCCATTGCTCAAGTTTAGTAACATATCATGGGTGCAGAAGAATTAGGATAAACTGCTTAGTGCTTGGCAGAAAGAAAAAAAAAAAAAAAACTGAAGTACTGAACCCAGAACAATATCTGCATTACCCCTACAAAGAATAAAAACATGGTTATCTAATTTCTCCAATTATATATATACAAATGAAGGTTATCGCTAGCTATAAACAATTTAACTGAAGCAGCACTAATCATCAAGAGGTCAATGAGAGAAGTGGACCTTTCTAAAGCCACAACAGACAATCATTTTGCCAGATATGTTATAAACATGAAGTAGAACAAGAATTCCAAAAAGGGTAAATCTGCTATAAAAGATAATAATAAAAATTGGACTCACAAAAAAAAGTAGAAGATGATATAAGAATGACATATTGAAATAGAACTATAATTTATTTGATAAAACTATAATTCATTTGATAAACTAGTCAAGGAAAATTTTTATTGTTTAATGACACAGAACTAGCACTAACTAATCACAAGATATCAACTGAGAAGAGCTGGTGATAGGGGAATGATTACTGACATAAAATCTAATTATTGTAGTGCATATCATCAACAGTGTTCCTATTCATAGATGAAACTAAAGCACCAATCAGTTAAAGAACTAGCAGAAATTAAGCCCAACAAATCAATAAAGTGCAAATGAATTCTGAAACAAATTATGCCACCATAGCCAATTATAACAAAAAATCATTCAACTTCAAACTTACAGTTATTAACTAAAAACAAGTGTTAAAAATGAAATTTTCTATTATAAAAAAGGGGAGCACAATCAATATAGTCCAAGAACTACCACATTCAAACTTTAAATTTCATAATATAGTTCAATACTGAAGTAACATTAAGGGTTAAATACAACATTTTGAGTATATAAAAGAGGAGCACAATCAAAAGAGTTCAAGAACAATCTGATTAATGTTTCCTGTTATAAAATATCAATGATCAGTCATATTCAACTGAACCGGAATACTGTTTTATGCTTTTTCCCTCTAAACATATCTGAATACCCTATTAATACGAAAACCCAAATTAGAGAAATGTGCACCAAAATGAAAAATATCAGAATCCACAAACCATATTCAAGCATTCAACTGGTTTCTAATCAATTTAAGCTATACTACAGTAGACTTCAAAGGCCAGAGAAAAAAATAAATAAATAATAAATAAATAAGCCAAATCCGGAGTTAATTTAACAGGAGCTAAATAAAAACATGGTTATCTAATTTCTCACAGAATAAATATACAAATGATGGTTATCACTAGCTATAACAATTTGACAGAAACAGCACTAATCATCAAGAGATCAATAAGAGAAATGGACTTTTCTAAAGCCACAACAGACTAGCATTTTGCCAGATATGCTAAAAACATTTAGTAGAACAAGAATTGCTAAAAGGGCAAACTGGCCATAAAAGATAATATTAAAAATTTGATTCACAAAAGATCTCCATCAGTAGAAGGATGATATAAGAAAGACAAATTGAAATAGAACTACGATTCATTTGATAAACTAGTCAATGAAATTTGTGATTGTTTAATGAGACAGAACTAGCATGCTTGCTAATCACGGGATATAAACTGAAAGGGGAATGATTATTGACATAAAATCCAATTATTGTAACACATATCATCAACAGTGTTCCTATTAACAGATGAAAATAAAACACCAATCAATGAAAGAAAAAGCATTAAATTAAGCCCAACAAATTAATTGTGGAAATGAGTTCTGAAATAAATTAAGCCACTATAGCCAATTATAACAATAAATTATTCAACTTCAAACTTACAGTTAACTAAAAACGTGTTATAATTGAAATTTTCTATTATAGAAAAGAGGAGCACAATCAATATAGTCCAAGAACTGCCTTATTCAACTTATAAGTTCATTATATAGTTACAATAACAAACTAACATTAAGTGTTGAATGAAACATTTCTATTAGAAAGATCAGCACGATCAATAGAGTTCAAGAACAATTCAGATTAGGGTTTCTCATATAATAAATGAGCAAAAATAGAAAATCGCAATGATGACAGTCATATTCAACTGAACCTGAATCCAGTTTTCAACTGAACATATCTTAATACCCTATTAATACGAAAACTAATTAGAGAAAAGTACCAAAATAGCAAATATCAGAACCCATAAACCAGATTCAGGCATTCAACAGATTTCTAGCCCTACACTTGAATCGATCAAACAGCAGACTTCAAAGGCCACAAAAGAAAGCCAAACCCAGAGTTACCGAGTAATTGACCATTAATTCCACTGAACATAAACAAAATTCCCTACAATATCAGCTACAAACCTATCTCAGTACTCTACATCAAGGCTTACCCGCACAATAGAAGTGACGTCCCGAAGAGGCGTTCTTGGATACCAAGAAGGTAGCACACTGTTCGTGGAACGTCCTCGGGCTCGCCGGCCACTTCCCGCCGTGATGTTCTCTCGACCCACCGCTGGCGATCCGTACAAAATCCGGCCACGTCCATTTCCAGTTCTTGGTGTGCCAAGGCTACCCCTTCCAAAACGACCACCACCTCGCGTAGGCACCACTCCCACGGGTCCCGTCATCGCCGTAGTTCCCCACCGGAACGGAGTTCTGGAACCCATATCTGGTTCATCGGCTAGAATACCTATACTGCGAAGTGATTGCCGCCGACGAGCAAAGATCGCCGAAATGTCCTCGGGCCTAGACAATCTGTCTCTTGATTCCGGCATTATGTGAATCTCCAACAGAAAACAATGATGGTGATGGAGATGGTAGTGGATCTACTCTGTATATCTCTTTGGAGATTAAAAAAGAAGAGAGAGAAAGCTTCGAGAGAGAATCGAAATGGCAAATCTTTGAAATGAAAAGTGGGCGGTATTATATTGGAAATGAAATTTGAACAATTTTTTTAAAAAAAAAATAAAAAATTGTTCAAATTTTAAATTTCAAATTTATTTGAAGTATCTACGGGGCGGTAGATTGACCTGTCTTGTGTGAAAGTTACAATTTTGCCCCTTAAACTGGTCCCAATTGAGTTTTCTTGTTAAATGGTGATAAATTCACAGTTCCGGTTTGCCTAATCAAGGAAGATCAAAAGGGCCAAAAATATAATATATACCTTCTTTATATCAAAATGGAAAAATTAAGTAATATCATAGTGTCACAATACACTGTAAATCATATAAATATTGTCTATTTTGCACATTGTGTTTATGATTTTCAAAAAAACTTATTTACATATGTTTTGAGTGTCCACATTTTTTTCTCAAAACCCTTGTAGTTAGGGCTTGTTTAGTAACGCTGCCAATTTAATTTTCTCATTGTGAACTTAAATTATTGTGCCATGAAAAAGATATACATATATATTTGAATGGATGATGATGAGAGTTTGAGTGACCTCATAATTAGCACTTGAGGCTTGAACTGGAGCGTAGGATTGATATGAGATCTTGTCCAATAAAAATAAAAAATAAAACAATTTTTAATGGATTGGGATTTTAATTTTAAATTCGAATTTCAAGGTACATTTTTTTGTTGACAGTCTTGATTATTGAATTTGACTCCAGGAAAGCATGTACACACAGAGACAAAGAGGGATTATGGGTGCAAATAATCTGAAAAAATTAATAATAATGTTTTTATTGACAATCATGATTGTGGACTTGATCATCAATTGATTTAAAAGATCCAAATTATTTTGGAAAGGACTTGGACTTACATTTCTATATTCACTTGCTGAAGGCTGCTTTCCAAAGATTGGGCCGGTTTGACCTCATTCGAATCAAATTTGAGCAAAAACTTTGTTGAATAACATAAAACTTGAACACTACACTGTAAACAATGCACATTACATTGCATCCTAAATATCATTATTCTTTTTTACAACATTTCATTTTTTGTCGACACAATTGTACCCTACATGAACACCATTTTCCAAAAATTTGAATACAAAAAGAAAAAGGTGGAGAGTGAATTTTAAGAAGATCTGCAACAGCCACCCTTCCTTCCAGTATCATGCTCCTGGTTGGGGACAACAATCTTGATTCCTTTAATACCCGAATTCCCATTATCCGTCCCATTGTTGGCAGCGAGGGATTTCTTGCTGAAGAACCGGTATATTTCTGTAAGAACTGTCTGAAATGCAGTATCAACATTGGTGGCCTCTAGTGCCGAGGTCTCCATAAAGAATAGATTCTCTCTTTCTGCAAACTCCTGGGCATCTTCAGTTGGTACTGCTCGAAGACTTCCCAAGTCACACTTGTTACCAATGAGCATAATAACAATATTCTTATCAGCATGCCCCCTTAATTCATCTAGCCATGTTGCCATGTGGTCAAATGATTGACGCTTTGTCATGTCATACACCAACATTGCACCAACTGCACCACGGTAGTATGCACTTGTCACTGCTCGATACCTGAGGAAAAATTGAGGTGATAACGTCAGTACCTCTAAAAGTCTGGAGAAAGATTCAAAATCTCATAATGTTAATTATAAAACAAATTTTGGAGTGTGTAAAAGATTCATCCGTTGTTGTAAGGGTAATGCTGTGATTAGGTCAGGCTGCACATAACCATATCAGAGTACCTATTAGATCCTGTTTAAGGGGAGGACTGATACATCAGGCTCAAAATTATCTAGCCATCAGAGAAAATATGCTACTCTGCAATAAAAAGATATGCAGTTGGCTTATTTTGATATGAATCATACGATGCCTATAGGTGACACAAAGCTACATCGATCTCAACTTCTCTCAACTAACAGGTTGGCACACTCAATCCGTTATGTAAAATCAGTTAATCGACAGTGGATCAGATTGTCTCAAAAGGATCATAAAAGCATAAATAATTAAATATGGATGTTTAAAAGATGTTGAAAGAAGTCTATATTATTGAAATTTTAGTGTTGTGCTATTCTTATGTTTTCATTGAAAGAGATATACAAGGATTAAATATGTGCATATCCAGCCTATTCCGGTATTTCCCATAAATTGGAAATGAAGAAGTAAATTTCATTGTAAATTCACTTCCCATCATTCGGAAGAACTATAATTTTTACCAGCACATCAACTATCTTCTTGTGGTATTAACACCAGGACAGCAGTAGCCGCCAGTAGGAGGCTTACAAAGCATTTCATGGATCTTAGGATCTATAGGTTACGTTGGACAGGGCTTAAGCCAAAACATAAAGAAAAAACACAAGTTTTTCATTACTCTAGGCCCTAATGTTGCTATACTCTGTTAAATTTTCCGTCTTTCCTACTGCCAATATGTCTTAACAATCACCACCACTTAAAAATGCATCATAAATTCTATTACATGGCCAGAAAGCATAATGGTTCTTCGATCTTCAAACTGACTTCCATACATAGAAGGTAAATTCTAAGTGCCAACATGGTTCAACAACAAAAAACCTTGAATTCAAATTATCCTGATAGGTTGCTGCTTTTATTAGGTAAAACTACTAGGGAAACGAAAAATTATGTCACGTCCTTTAACTCTCGCATAATTAGTCACCTTGAGAGAGAGACTTCAGGTAAAATCTCCTCTACACTACATAATCTCTGTACATATATGGAAGATATTAAAGCAACATCTGTACGACAAGTGAGCTTTCAATTTTAGAACTGGTGACAATGAACAGAATGCTAATCCAAATTAAAATGTGTGGAAAGAACTAAAACAAGAAACATTAGTAAGTTTGCTCTCAGCAAATTATATATGCCCTGACACTTAAGCGGTTATGACTAGCCTTTGAGTTGAGCCTTGCAAGTTGTATACCACAACTAAAGTGAAGCTACCGCTTATATGCCTTCTTAGGTCTTCAATGATGAGGCAATGCCAACAAATGGGGCCACTTTAGAGGTTCACAAAATAATTCCAAATAAAATTAATAGGAAGTCCACAAGTGAGGTTCTCTTCCTATGCAATATTGAAGCTTGTGTTCTCATAAAAGGTCCTCATAACTTTCTTACCTTAATATGCTCTTCAGATCCAACAACAAAAACTGAAAGGTGCATCTCATAGGCCTTTGAGGTTTATGCCATGTTTCGTGAGGATGAAATCTCACAAACTTCCACCTTCAAAGACACCAAACACAATTGCAGAACTGTGCATAGAGCAGGAATATTGTGAACCAACTTGGTTATTAAGCAATCAGCTCCTAACCCCCCACCCCTCTCTCTGGTTGGGTGTGTGAGAGATATTAAACAACGAGCCCAGAAACAACAATTTATGAATCTCAAAATCGATGATATAGAAGAATATTGAATAGGAAAGATCGATCAGTTGCTAAAGCATCAAAACAGCCATAGACTTCATTCTAAGTTTTAACTTAGTTGAGGACATGAAGGATTGTTGGCCAAAAATAATTGGTGCATTTTGATGAAAGACATAAACTAACTAGCATTTGTTCTTAAAGTGCACAAGCAGCAGAAGAAAATCCTATGCCTTTGAGACGAGACAGAAAAAGATTTAGTGTATGCCTAAATATAACAAAGACAACAAGTAGGTAGCTAAGCAGTCAACCCAAAATGCTGTCAAAAGTCTTCAATCCAGTGATCTTCCCTCCATTTATATATATTACTTTTCACTCTCAAAGTTTCACCACAATTACGAGCATCGATGGATCTAATCTTCTCCCACTAGAATTTTCAGTCACAGTCCATGACAATACTTTTTTCATTTGAGCATTCCGTTGATTTGCAAAATGCTGCAAAAAATAATGTCTCCCACTATACTGTCATTGATAATTTTCGGAAAGAATTCATTATATTCAATCAAAGTCAGATTATAGCTAACCTGTGTATGTAATTTATTAGGCATGTTTTTCACTGACTTAGATTTTCATACCACATTTTCACAAAATAAAACAAAACCTGGCAAAAAAATGCTACAAAAATATGTTACTACTGTACAAGAAATAAAATAATATTGAATATGAATACCTAGCAAGAAAAAGGGAAAAGGCAAACCTTTCTTGGCCGGCAGTGTCCCAAATCTGTGCCTTCACCGTCTTGTGATCAAGAGCAACTGTCTTTGTCTGGAATTCAACCCCAATAGTTGCTTTTGAATCCAAACTGAACTCATTTTTCGCGAACCGTGACAATAGCTGAGATTTCCCTACAGCTGAGTCTCCAATTAACACGATCTTGAATACATAATCAATCTTTTGATTATAATCCCCATACAGATTCGACATTGTCAAACCCTAATCAAATCCACAGTTTTAACATGCAATTTCGAGTTACATGAACACAAATAAGACAAAAATAAAAAAAGTAAGTATAAATTACAAATTTGCAATCAGTAAAATAAATTTGATAAAAAGATCTAAATCATAGATTTTTATGTAGATCATATAGAATTTTAATTTAGGGTTAGAATCGTGGTTTCTTGGGGAGATCTAGAATCAGGGTTAAAGTTAGGGTTTGGAAAGGAAGATCATAGGAGAGAGAATTTGAACGTGGCGGTGGGAAGTTTGTGTTCTAGAGAGAGAGTTAGGAGAAGAGAGAGGTTACGGAAGATCAACGGCTAGCGCGGGTCCCAGTAACGGTTTTTTGGTACGCAGAGCGAAGTGTTCAGTGTATTTGAAGGGGGCTGGACAAAATTATGCCGAACACAATAAGTCTGGTTGTTTGGTTGTTTGGACGTAAAATATATTTTTTATTTTTTTTAAGATTTAATTGTAATAAAATATTTATGAAGAAAAAAAATATTAAAATTTAATGGAAATAACTTACTTATTAATTTTCGTCAAGTTATTTCATGGGTTTCTTTCGTGCTGATGGACTTGACCTACACATTTGACGAATATCGAAAAAGTAAAAATAAAAAAATTAATTTATCTGAAAAAAATAAAATAAAATAAATTTCTGAGAAAATATTCTACGTCGAAACAAACAGAGCTTAAATATGTATGTGACATGAGAAGACAATAAAAATAAAGTTCATTAGATGAAAACGTTAGGTAGTGCTGCCTTGGTATCCGATGACCGGGGCATCACCCGGCTGCATTTGACTTAGGGGTGCTATCGGATTAAGAGGTAAACGTAATCCAATTTAGTCTCAATATGTAAAAATTTCAATCTAGTTTGATCAGTTAAAAAATTAAATTGGATCGATTTGAATTTACTAATTGAACTTTTTCGAACCGCCCAATTTTATTATTTTTAATTACAGTCCAATACATAAACTATAAACAATTTAATTACATGTAACGCTCCTCCCACAACCTCAATTTAAATTTTATACAATATCATCAACTATCGGTGCCAACAGCCGACCTATCATTATAATTTAAAACAATGAAACATTTCCTTTTTTTTTTTTTTTTTTTGTGAAAATATGCTACTAATCTCTAGTATAGGAGTGTTATGTGTACCTTACCTTTCTTTTTATTTTTTAAAGTTTTTCCTCTATATATATCTCTAAATCTTAAAAATAAAAAAAAAATGGAGAATTTGTAGAACAATTATTTGAATTTTTTGAGATTTCAGTTTACTGGTTTTTAGTAATAATAATAATAATAATAATAAAATCTCAATATCAGTGTGCGGTTTTTGGAGTTTGGAGCAAATTTGTTTTCTTTAGTTTGCACTTTATTTTATTTTATTTAGTTAATTTTATCTTTACTTGTTTATTGCCGACGTCCTCTAATAGTGTCATTTTTTGTCATTTTACAAAATTATTTATTTTTATATATTTTATAAAATGGTTCAGTGAGGGTAATTTAGTCAACTTAGGGTTTAAATTTGTCAAAAGGGCCTATTTGCACCAAATTGAAACTTTAGAGGTGTCTTTTGCACGTTGGTGATGTCCCTTAATAGTGTCATTTTCGGTCATGTTACAAAATTATTTATTTTTATATATTTTATAAAATGGGTTAGTAAGGGTAATTTAGTAAATTTGTCAGAGGGATCTATTTGTATCAAATTAAAACTTTAGGAATTTTTTTGCACATGAAGAGTATGATATGTACTCTAAAAATATTTTAAGGTTGTTTTCTGCACTTATTCATTCTTTCTTTGTTTTTATGATTCTAGTTTGTTCTGCATGCTATTATAATTTTCAAGGGCCCACATACCAAAAACTGAAGGAGTGGGCCTGGACAAGCCCAGAAACACTGGGCCTCAAATGCTATTACTTTCAGAGCATGCAATGACAGTGAGTAGTGACACTGTGACACCCAACTGTTTTAATCCATGGGTCCCGCCGACCCAACCCATGTCGAGACTCAAGACAATTACCAAAAAGAGGAAAAAAGTTAAAACAAGAAAAAGTTCGGGACTCAACACAAAAACTAAAATAAATGAGCCATTTCTCCGATTTAAAAACTGAATTCCGACTGCCCTCCTCAGGCCATGCAGTGACGACGACGGAACCTCATACACGTACAATGCAATGCAGTGTGCTGTAGATCAAACCTAAGTGTCACCGGTCTCTTATTTTTTATTTTTTAAATCATCCAGAACAAACCTATACAAAGCATAACTACCCGCCTTTTTATCCTCCCAAAGGTGTCGCATGCAATTGTGTCATCTTACTAAATTGGAAATGGACAAGGCAGGCATGATGCAGATAGCAACCATCATAAAGGTTTTAATGATGCGGGCTATCAGTTCAAAGATAAAATTATAGCCTCCTTCAATAATTCAGCCCTCCATTTATGATGGTTGCTTTGACTTCCTGCGAAACACTGAACCAGAAAACTCTCCAACAAACAAATTTAATTTCCTTTTTTTTTTTTTATCCACAACAATAGTTTTGCAGTATATATACCAGCTGAAAATCTCAGTCTTGAGTGTCCCAGCCTGTTTCACTAATAAACTGAAAGAAAAAAAACATATAACAAGGAATGTTTTATTACAACATGTCCTCCTATACAATTGATCTATATTCCTACCTAATCATATAGTTGGAGATTTGTAAGCCTAAGTCTTGTTAGCTTACAGGCCCCCTCTACTTCTTACTCACTCAGTAAAAATAACAACAAAGACTACGTTTTACTATTTTACTACTTTCATTCTTCTTCGTCAATGTGAAAGAGAAATGAACATTGTGATTTCAGTCCATTTCTCCACCCTTCTTCCATTTGTTTATTTACAGAAGCAAATCAAAGAGTTTGATTTTGTATTGACTTCTGCATACTTGAACACTTGCAGTTTGCCCGATTTTCGCTAAGTATCTGCAACAGAAATAAATCTGTAAAGAAAATCTTATGCTGCATAACTTGTTTTACTCGGCAGCAAAATAAAAAAATAAAAATTAAAAAAGGACAGTTGTTTTGGGAATTATTTATGGTATTCGCTTTAGTTTCTTCTTCAATACCTTGTACTGTTTTTGCAGCTCTTTAATGTATTCGACAGCCAAATCTAGCATGTCTGCAGTATTCGTTTGCTGCCAAAAAGAAACTAAAACATCTTCAGTTTCCACAAATTACAACTAGGCTAAATTTTGTATAGTAAAACCAATACACCCAAAAAAATAAAAAAGAAGAAGAAGAAAGTAGTCTATGGTAAAAAACCAACCTTGTCCATGTTTGGAACAAGCTCTTGTAGTTTCCTCATTCTTTCACTGATTCGGGTTCTTCTAACCTAAAAGTAGAGCATCCCTTACAATCATATTCAGCTTTGACTTCATCGGTTTAACCAATTAAAGTACAAACATCTCTTACTCCAAAACAAATATTAAATAGGTTGTAGATTTATTTGGTGACAACTATAACCAAAACATTTTGATTGCAATGCTGACCTTAGAAAATGATTTGGATGGTCCAATGCACAGATGCTAATAATAAGCTAAAATAAGAAATGGTCTAGGATATGGAGAATTACCCTCTCTGCAATGCTTCTTGGATGAGTGGCACAACCTCGCTTTGCTCGAATCTTACAAGGAACCGAATCTTGGAACTGCAGAAACTTCTCCATGGTAGCCATATCACCGGAGGTTTTTGGTAAACTTAAGTGGTGAGACAATATATGTGTGCGATTTCCAAGATCCCCATCCTGATCAGAAACAACACAATCTTATTCAAATCAAACAAACAATTAATCAAGGGACAGACCGACAGATCAATAAATGTGCAAAATTATACCTGAGTACCAACAAATAACTTCCCATCACTATCTAGGTCCCTTTTAAGGCCAGAGAAGTTCTCTGCAAAATGGGAAGAATCATTCCAAGAACTAAATGGGTATCCATGGCTGTAATATTGAGCATCCCCATTGCCATTCCTGAGCTTTCCATCATCATGGTCAGTTGCCTCAATGTTTTCACTCTCAACTTCAGAAATCCGAGAGAGCATTCCCAAGGAAGATGGCAATCTAGATGGGAAGCTCATCTGACCCTTCAACCTGCTTGAAGGAATTGCATCTCCATTAGTACCATTCCCCACTCTATAATTTCCAACAACCCCTGTTGAGCCATAGCCTGCAAATTTGCAAAGAAATTTCGGTGAATTATCATTATGAAAATCTCTACTTGATATTTGAAAATTTTGATACGGCTCGCTGCTAAATCCTCCACAAGGTTGCTAATTTGGAAATGTAAAAACAAAAGGATAACATATGTTAAGTGCTATGTTGTTAGTGGCTCTCCAAACAAGGTCATAGAGATATATCAAAGGGTTAGCTGATCGAGTACAGACTCTTCTTCCTTGTGCCCAATAATGAAATAAGAAACTGATTTTTCTTAGATACCCACAGTTTTCCTACATTTATAAGCAATCAATCACAAGGAAATGTTGCCACACAATATAAGTATCATCGATTAATACTCTAGCTTCTGCATTAGTTATAATATGAAACTAATCTACATTTGTTAGGGAATAGATGCATCTCTTTAAGATATTACACAACGCCACAGAAGGATACCGAAAAGCATTAGCAAAATGAACATCATGGAAGAAAGTTTTATCAATATAGGCCCATTGTGACAATTTCAGATCCCTATCATTATACTCCCTAAATGTGTGTGTGTGTGTCGGTGTACATAGTACAGTATATGTATATTAATCTAGATTCTAGAGTCAGAAGTGAAGAGCTATATGAAGAAAACAATTACTGGCACCATGTGAGCTTCATGTATGCTCTAGCAAATGAATCTAAACTAAGATGCATATATTACAGGCAAGTCAACAGGATATCTAAATTGCTTTCTGAATTTAGAAAGTCAAAACATTTAAATTCCATAGAGCAATTATACTTTTACCAAAAGTGTTTCAAATTATCTCAAAATGATGAAGAGCTCGAAAAGTACCATTTTGAACAGTGTGGTGAGAGAATAGCCCTGCAGGGGAACTGTTCTGCCTCATAAGATTCGGACCCATTTTCGGCTGCGACTGATGCTCCATAGCCATCGAACTCACCACTCCATATGAATTATCCATAGAAGGCAATTGGGTAGCTGGACTTTGTCTCGAATAGTGAGTGTGCAATTCAGGATTCAAAGAGTACCCATTAGCCAGAGGCTTTCTCTCATCCAGATCATGAAAATTTGAAGTCAACCCATGATCTTCAGGGGTTGAAGATTGAGGGATTGAAAAGAATTCACACGAATCGTCCCCTTTATCAACGTCATTGGCGAAGCTCGAGAGCAGAGAGCTCGGAGCAGAGCGAAACCTCAACAACCCAGAATTCGTCTGCTGATTATTCTGGTATTGTGTATACTCATCATGGTGGTTCATATTTGAGTTCATCAACAAGAGTCTACTCTTGTCAATCTGCTCTTCCTTCTTCTTCGAATCAGACGAAAATATAGCAGTCGAGTCGGTAGCTAATGCTCGAGAATCACCGTACATTCCTCGCTTTTTTCCCTGGAAAAATTCGAGGACCTTTTTCACGGAAACTGCTTGATTTTTAAGCAATTGAAGACCCAATCTTGTAGTACAAGCCACAAAGTCCAGATCTTGTGATTCAGACAGAGATAGAGAGAGGCGCTTTTTTAAGTTCTTGGTCCTTTGCGTCTCTTTGCCATAAAAAAAACAGAGCTTGGAGAAAGAAGAGATAATGCAGAATGAGGACTGAATCGTAATAAAATGGAATTTTTTTAGGTCGGCTTATGGGTAGTAGAGAATGGGAATCAAGTGTGACCTCAGGTTTATATTTACGAATCTCAATCACTGAGATATAGAATAGAAGAGATAATTAGTTATGTGTATAATATGCATATGTAAGATATCACTTTTTTTTTGGAGCATCGGAGAGGGAGAAGAGAAGTGAGATTGAGCGTTTTAGAGAGAGAAAGAAGGGAGAGAGAGAGAGAGAAGAGATATGGTGGCGTTGGAGATGGCAATGACAGAGACCCACGGGGAAAAGAAGGAAGCAAAATTTTATCCTCCTTCAATGTCCAGCCAACGGGAAAACTACCTGCAGCCATCAATTTCATTTCAGCCTCATTACAACATTACCCTTATAAATAAACCAAAATACAAAAATGGAAAATGCTAATTTTGGTGTGTGTCGCTATTTATGTTTCTTTCTTTTTTGAGTAAGTCCGTGACGAGACGAAAACACGAATTCACGAGAAAACCCAAGTCATAATTTTCGTTTTCTTTTACTACCTTTTATCTCACATCATAACAGTTACTAGTATATTTAGGTCACACAAGTTTTTTTTGTTAAAAGGTAAGCTTAGGTCACACAAGTTGCTCTTCTTTCACGTGTACTCCCCGTTCTGTAACTTTCGCATTCCTCGGTGTAATGGATAGTTCATTTTCAATTTTTTTTTTTTTTTTTAAATAAATATCAAGCAAAGGAAAAGGGTAAGAAATAGATAGTTCATTTTTAATTAAGGTCAACACTGTTAAATGCCCAATGGAATGAAATTATTAAAAATAATTTTAAAACTTTAAATATTAGATGAACAATGACTTCTAATATAAAGAATGGAAAAAATTTATTTTTGCGTCCCACTCAAGGGTGGGCAAATAATTTATGAATTTGTAATTGAATCCATAATTTACGGATCGAATCATAAATTGAGTTATTAAAATTCAATTCGATCCGTGAGTCTGATTCATAATATATATATATAAAGAATGTATTATTTAATAATCATTTAATGAATTCTAAGAATACATTAATTAAAGATCATTTAAATATATGCATAAATTAAATTTTTATCTATTAGGCTATGATTAAAAAGTAAACTATTTTTAAAAAAACCTACGAATTTGATCTAATCCGTTATTTCACGTATTAGTGACGTATTTAGATTATTTTAATCAGTTGGGAGCGAATCAGATTAGAATTGATGCCTAATGTGATCCAATTTGAAATCACCTCTATTCTTTTCTCGTTCACGGGACATATAAAAATAATAATATTCAATTAAATATAATTCTCAAAGTAAAACCATTAAATCCATATTACGTTCCTCACATCTATATTTTTTCAGTCTTCAACCTTAAAAACACACGCATGTCCATCATTTTCCCTTCTCATCATACAAAGCATTTGATACTTTGGATAAGGGGGTGCACAAAAGAGTTGGCAGGTAAAAAGATTTCGTTTGGAGGCGTCACAAAAAGCATCAGATTCACGAGAAGCATCTGATCCGATCCCACGCGGGCCTCCAAAGATTGACCCCTTTTTCGCACGAGATGATGAGATCACATGCGCCGTTTTCTCCGTATGGTGCGAAAATTCCCATATTGCTACTCCTTTTACACTAGATTTACGAAACCTTCCGTCAGGAGTGACAAAATAAAAAAAAATTTAAATAAAGAAAAAGATTTTGTAACCAAGTATCAAAATTATTCTTTTCGGTGAATGACTATCAAATTATTGTTATATTCTGACCATTATTGTTACATTATTTGGGATTATCAATTTCTAGTCTCAAATCTTATTAATTAGTAAAAGCATATTGAAGGGATATTATATTTTTATGTTAATGTCTACCTCTTACATGGAGAATATGTCGGTCGTTCAAAACAAAAAATAAATAATAATAATAAATACATAAATAAATTAAATTAAGTAGAATAAAAACGGTTCATAGAATCTATATGATTCCCAACTGAGAGATAAAGCATAAAGATGGAATATTATTTTTAATTTTTTTTTTTTGTCGCACTTATCAATTTCTAAGTTTTTGTCATCATAAATATGTGTGCGCATGGAAAATGTATTCCCTTCCATGAACATATTCTTTTACAACACCATCAAACAACATGGATGTAAAATTACTATTTTGTCATTCATGAGAATTTTTATTGTTTTAATAAATTAAAAAAATCCCAGAACTATGAATTATTTTGCAACACATACCTTTGAACTATTTTTGAGCCAAACCCTCTTTATCTTCAAAATTGTGTAAAAATGTCACGTTCTTGTCAGACGCCTGTTAAGTCTTTAATAATTTGTAGTTTGAAATTAATAAAGTGCTCCTCCTAGTAATTAACTTGAAAAATTAAAATAAAACAAATATATAAAATACCAATAGAGAAATTTTAGTAATTTATATGATAATATAAATTAATGGAAACTTAACTGTCTTTGACGGTAAGGGGGGATTTTGAACGTTTTAGAAATATGATGAGGGAGGTTTCGGTTCAAAAATAGTCATTTGAGCCAGAGTAATTTTGTTGAAAGGGTATTTTTTATTTTTTATAAATTTTCTTTTTATCAAAGTTCTGCGATGAACGAATGACCAGTTTAAGCGACGTGCTAACGGTTGGGTTAAATTGCAAAAAATAAAATAAAAAATAAAGAAAGAAGGAAAGAAAAGTAGAGAGATAGTATGACGGCAAGTATTGTTTCACCTTTAACCAAAAAAAAAAAGTATTGTTTCATCTTACATTTTTTTTTCTTATATTTTTCATTTTTATACATTGATGTGAAGTACATTCACTACTGTGTATTGACTTTAGAATTTTATTTAATTACAATCCAATTTTTTTTTCATTTTCAATTTCAAAGGAATTTAGTTCCAAACAAAACGTTAAGATTGTAATTAAATAAAATTCTAAAGTCAAGAAAACAATTAATAAAAAGATAATTTTATAATCCCATCAAATCCCATCATTTTTCTTCCGATTTCTCCACCTTATTAATTTCCCTTTAGAATCCCATCAAATCCGGTCCCTTTTCTTTTTAAAGTCCCATCATTCCAAATAACTGATTTTTTGTAAAATTTCAAATTTTCTTAAATCCCAAGATCCAAACACACTGTAAAAAGTAAAAAAAGTACACTATTGACTTTCTACTTTAAAATATGAGAAAATGACTACTAAACGACAACCTTACATTTTAATTGTAGTGTCTAGTTATATGAGCATGCGTTATTTATTTATTTATTATTATTATTATTATATTTTTGGCATATATTCTTTAAACAAACTAACATGCATGTCACTTCGTGAATCTTCTTCTTAAACTTATTGTAAGTGAAAAAAATAAAAGATAAAATGTATATCAGCAGTCAAAATGCGGGGAAAGTGATAACTTGTAGTTGAAGCTTTGGTTAGATCAGCTTTGTTATAATTGAGGAATAAGATGCACTTGCCGGTCGCTGACATGAAGTAGGGAATCAAGTGCCTCAATGAGGGAATTTCAAACATTCTTAAGACGCGGTAACATATATATATATACACACACTCACGCGTATATATTTATGTATATAATTGGATATTTATAGCAAAGATCAATAAGTGCATATTCCCTCATTATCAATTTAAGTGTCCTTTATGAAAAGTAGTAATTTTTAAAAAGACATATAGGACATGCTAACTTGCCCTTTTAAGTTTTGAATATTCAAATTTAAAATTTTAAACTCAAAGAACATATATAAAAAAATTGTAAAATATATTGTTTGGAAAAAGAAAATGAATTATTATTTTAGGACAGACAAAAAATGAAAGCATGATACTTATTTTGGAAAGAAATGAGTACATTTTTAAAACTAACAAGGTACTTCTTAAGTTTTAATGCAAGGTTAAGAAAAAGAGAGCACCAAATTGTTTAATTCAAATTTTGGCCTTTGACAATTGACAAAGGAATTTCAAACATAATTTATATAACTAATTTTAAATTTATTATTTATTTTGTTTCATTATTTGCACTTGGTGCTTCGAAACATAACATAAGGTCAATCACATATATATCTATTTATTTTATTTCAAGGGAGTAGGAACTCTAAATCTTTAACCTGTCATTTATAAAAAAGAGAGGAAATATTACATGGACTAAAATTCTCGAAAATAACCAATTTTAAATAGTAAAAAAAGGGAAAATAAAAATATTTTGATTGATACTACAAATATTTGGTGGTAGTAGTTTAGATAGTTTGGAAAGCCTTCCTACAAAACTGGCCTATATACCATTAGACAGTTGAAAAATGGTTTTGCCAAGTTGAATTTTTTAGTTATATATTAGTTTGACGGGAAAAAAAAAGACAGGCAAGTTTTATACGTAGTACCACTTTTTAAAAAGTCACTTTTAACCACGTGCATATACCAGGAACCAAAAATATAAGACTTAGAAGTAGACCTGTCAATAGATCGGATTCAGATCGGATCGATCAAATTCATATCCTATTTGTTAAGCAAACGGATTATCGGATTTGGATCACTAACATGTTCTCAGACTGAATGTCTCAATCTATATCCTATTTAGCTCGGACTTGAATCGGATTGGATTCGAAATCGGATTAAATTAATATTTACTAACATATATAATTATAAAGAGTATGATTTTATTAGTATGTGTACTAAGAGATTTATTAACATGTGGATAAGAACGCCACAATATTTATGTATAACATTATTGTTATTTTGAATTTTTGGTTACCTCTAATACAATTCTAATAGGAGTAGTGATATATATATATGTAAAATTATTGATAAATAATTATATATATATAATTATTTTTATATATAATTTCAATTGAATCGGATCGGATCAACACAATCCATATTCGATTTGTTAAGCTAATGGATTCTCGGATTCGGATCGTAACCAAATTATCAGATTTTTTATTCAATCCATATCCGACTAATCGGATCAGATTCGAATCGGATCCGGATCAGAATCCGCTCCATTGACAGGTCTACTTAGAAGGTAATAGAAAGAGTTGTATATGTATATACTATGTAGTTATTATATACAGTTATTCACACAATGAAATTGTAGACCAGTTATTCTGACGCCTCCATTTAAACACTTAGTATTTTTATCTCTATTTAAAAAAAATTGTAAAAAATATCTCTAATATTTTCACATTGTGTAAAAGTATGACATAAATTAGTGATGTAATATTCGTTTTACTCTTTTATTCTTCTGAAAAAGTTTAAGGGAGTATACATGATACTAATCTCATAGTATAGGAGTGTTATGTGCACATTATCTTTTTTTAAAAAAAAAAAAAAAACTTTTTCTCTATGTATATCTCTATTTTTTTTTTTTTTTTTTTTTTGCAAAATAAGGATTTAAATTTGTTGAGATTTTAGTTTACTGTTTTATACTATTTTTTTTCATACCAACACTATTAAACAAAAAAAAAAAAAAATTTCCAATATCCGTGTGCACTGGTTTTCAAAGTTTGGAGCAGATTTGTTTTCTTTAGTTTGCACTTTATTTTTGTTTTTTATTTTCTATAATTATCCTAACTTTACTTTTATTTTCAACTTTACTTGTCATGTGCCGGTGATTTTTGCACATGAAGGGTGTCCTCCAATAGTATCATTTTCGATCATTTTAAAAAATTATTTCTTTTTATATATTTTATAAAATAGTTCAGTAAGGGTAATTTAGTTAACTTAGAATTTAAATTTGTTAAAAGGACTTATTTGTATCAAATTGAAATTTTAGAGGTGTTTTTTGCACGTGAGAAGTGTGAGATGTACTATAAAGCACTTGACCCTAAATTAACATCCCTGCCTAATTAAAAAATTCAATCATACTATATTACAAATAAAGTATAGTCATGATAACTTTTTGAGAAATGAGGGACAAATTCATGATAAAATAATAATAATTATTATTATAAATAAACAAATTAAACTTTTAACCAATGCATTAGTCCAACGTTAAAGTGTTAGCATATTTCTATTATATATATAATTGTGAATTAGTCCACTAATTTGTTGGAATAACAAATGATTGGTACTATTGTTGTAAGAGAGAAACACAAAATAGCGTAGGCCAATTGAAGAGGTGGAAACATTACCAGACCTAAGCCAAGCCAAATCCAACCCAAGGCACCAAGTCAGTCAATTCCTTCATCCTTAAGGCCTAAAGGTTAGGCTCAGTTCGTGAAGAAGCCAAGATAACAAGACGGGCCTCCATTTGAGTCGATTTGGGTGGATGAATCGACCCATAGTGGAAAGAGACCCATCAACTTTTGACTTAAAAGGAAAAGTATGGGAAATTAGGGTATGGAAAAAAACTTCTATAAAAAGGGGTTTGAGAGGAAAAAGATAAAAGTTATTTTGAGTGTAAGAAAATTATTTCCCAATATAGAATCACGTTTTCTTGCATCTTCATCTGGTGGCGTTTGGTACTATTTCCATCCCATCACCAATCGAAGTCAAGAGTGCCATCATAGATCTTCCGATTGGTGATGGAATGGAAATGGTACCAAACGCCGGTCTTACTAATCTTGACAACCTTATAATAGAACAGAAGGTCAAACACCCCAAGCTCTAGCCCCCTGAAGATACAATATTCCGTTTCATCTCTCTCTTCTTTTTCTCTTCTCTCTAGCCTCTTGCTCTACTTTCTACCCGTCATGGTCTATTTATAGGCCATGACCCTTTTTTGCAGTTAAGCAATTACATTGGGCTTATAGCTGAAAGTTCTCTTCTTTCTGGGCTGGGTCTTGTAATGGGCTTGACCTTCTTTGGTGGACCCCCCACGTTCGGCCCATTCCAAGGTGCTTTGGCATGGATCCTTCTTCAATCATTCGACCCGATCTCGTTTCCGCGATCCATATCCGGCCCATGCCACTTGCCGCATCCTCAACTGCCCCCATAATTACCCCTTATTGATTAGGGGGTAATTATTAGAGGCTGCTAATGATGACCTGACGGCTCAAGGAGATCGTGTGGGAATGGACGGTTAGATTAAAGGGTCAGCGCTTCGAGATTCCAAAAGACAACCCATCGCTTTCCTGACTCCTCGGCTCTCGGGCTTATCTCGTCTTTATAAGCTCCATCGACTCTCCATCGATCCTCTTTACCGTCTCCATCTCTCTTTTTGCTGCTTGAATCCTCTCCGGCGATCTCTTGCGAAAGATCTTCCTTCCAGTGGCTTTGCAATACTTCTCTACCGTTTTCACTCTCTAAGGTTAGTTTCATTTGCATTTTTCTTTTGGAAGACTTTTTTCTTCTCCCCGGAATCCTCATCCACTCTCACCATAACAGTAGATCTAGACGTTCTTCGCATAAAACTTCAACTTTTTGATGATGTAGAAATTAGAAACTGCCCCCGGGAAGTGAATATTAGAACCGGTGCTGGCCTTCTTCCCGACGAGGCCTTGTTTTCACTCCTCCATCTCAATCTCCTTAGATTTCCTCTACATCCTTTCTTTTGCTATGTTTTTAACAAGCTAAATCTTTCCCCTTTACAAGTAAACCCCAATTTCCTTAGGATTTTATCCGTTATGCTACTCCTGGTTCGTGATAGAGGTCTGGATCTGGACCTCGTAGATCTCCTCCTCTGTTACAAGGTCAGCAAGATCAGAACTGACGAACCGTTTTACCACATTTTCCCCATTGAGAAGAGGTCTATCTGCACGGATAAGATCAAATCTGAGAAGGGCTGGAGGAAAAACATTATTGGGGTTAGGGGAGCCTGGTTCTCTCCAGCTGCGGAGGGTTTCCCTATCCCGAGCGCTTTCGGAGAGTGCTCTGTCTCTTTTTACAAGAAATATAAAAACCATAAGAGTGACTGTCCTTGCGAGATCTGCATTCCTCGTTTTTGTTCTTTCTTGTGCCATTCCTTAGGCATTCCTTGTGATGACTTGAGCTAAAGTGTGTGCAGGGATAGGGATAACTACTTGAAGCGGTACGTTCTGACCAACGTTCCCTCTTGCTCGGACCTTCTCACCTCAGATAATCTCCTCGACATCTCAGTCCTCGGCAAGACAATGAGCCAACTCCAGATCCCTTCCTTCGGCAGGAAGAAATCTGCCCCCAGGCCTGCTATCACTCCTGCATCAAATTCCTCACCGGCTTCAGCATCTTCCTCCGCTACTCTTTCTAACACCACTCCTTCCACCGATCCATCCGCGACGGTTGCTGACCCGGTCGCTAACACGGCGACTGCTAGCCCGAACGTTACCCCCTCTGTCAACAATCCTCCTGGCTCTACTGCTGCTTCCGCATGGGAAAAGGCCAAAGGAAAAAGGCATCAACCCGACAGTGCTCTGAGTATGGATGACGTTCCCTTGTCCCAGAGGGTTAGGCCCTCTAGGCCGAATGTGATTTCCCTGGCGAGACCTCCTCAAGCTAGGCCCCCCACCCCTTCTGGGCAAGCCTCCGCTTCAGGTGCGGCGCCATGGAGCCCTCGCTTCGTCCGAACAGACGGATCGTCTGTGAAACCGACCGAGACCATGTTCAAAGATAGTCAGACCGTGATGGCCTACTACATGAGTATGTGGACTCCCAAGGACATCGAGGTGGCCAAAGGTCTATCTCAGAGGGAGGTGTTCAGCCGATTCCCCTTGTCCGCCATGGAGGTAACTTCTACCCCTTAGTCAATAAATCTTTACATACTCTTGCCATTTATTTTCTTCTAACCATCTGTTCGGCTTAACCAGTTGTCCTGTATATCTCTACAGACCTTGTACGGGATGATGGCTATGCAGAAGCAAGTTGAGCAGGTGACTGCCAAGGTCTGCGCGCTTTCTGACAGCCTTAGTGCAGCGAACGAGGAGAACGATAACTTAGTTGCTCAGAAGACCGGGTTGATGGTTCAACTTGGTAAAACCGAAAAAGAGAGGGATTCGCTGAGGAGGGAGATTGACTCTCTTCAGGATGAGCGGAATGCTCTGCAACTTGAGAAGAGCGTCTGGCAGACCGAACGGGAATCCCTTAGGGCCGAGAAGGAAGAACTGCTACGCCTTCTGAATGACGAGCAATCTGCTAGGATGGCCTTTGAGAAGAGGGCCCTGGACGAGCGCAATGCTTTGCTTGATACCATCAGCAGGGTAAATGGTGGTATGCTAGCTCTGCATGCTCGATTCTCTAGAGTCGGAGCCCTCAGATATGCTCAGGGGTTCCGAGAGGGTTACGCCGATCGCATCCCTGATGAGGGTCAGACTGGCTCTACCCCTGATGACGTTGATAAGGATCTGGATATTGACCCTCCTGGTGTTTATACTGATCCAGACTCCACCGCTGCCTAGGGGATATTTGATGAATGTCAGGAGATTGCATCTTCTCGGATCACTTCTACTCCTCCTGCCGCTCTGACTTTGGACATTCTTCTTGTGTCCACTTTAACTCCCTCTGCCGTTACTGCTGAAGATAACCCTCAGCAGAATGATTCTTCCAACGCTGCTGAGGGTAGGATTCAACAGAACGATTCTGTCATTCACTTTGACTTTCCATCTCGTGAGGATGGCGACACCACCAACAATGAGGAGGTATCCCAACATCAGGAGGCCGACGAGGCAAACGCCTCTTAGTTAGGACCCTTTTGTTTTTTTTTTTTTTAAATGTACTGACTTTGGCATATGTGCCATCTTCACACCTCATTTTTTGTAACCTTCTGAAGCTTATTAATGAGATGGCCGACTCCTGATCAAATTTTTTGTGTCAACTCTTCCTTTTTTTTTTTTTGGCAAGTGTTTGGCGTTCGGCTCATTGTGCCAACTGCCACTTACTTTGCTCAGGTGCCTGGCGTTTGGCTAGAATGCCACTTGCCACTTGGCCCTCTAATTTTCTTTAGCAAGTGTTTGGCGTTCGGCTCATAGTGCCAGCTACCACTTACTTTGCTTAGGTGCCTGGCACTCGGCTGGAATGCCTCTTGCCACTTGGCCTTTTGTTTTTCTTAGCAAGTATTTGGCGTTCGGCTCATAGTGCCAGCTGCCACTTACTTTGCTTAGGTGCCTGGCGCTCGGCTGGAATGCCTCTTGCCACTTGGCCTTTTATTTTTCTTAGCAAGTGTTTGGCGTTCGGCTCATAGTGCCAGCTGCCACTTACTTTGCTTAGGTGCCTAGCGCTCGGCTGGAATGCCTCTTGCCACTTGGCCTTTTATTTTTCTTAGCAAGTGTTTGGTGTTCGGCTCATAGTGCCAGCTGCCACTTACTTTGCTTAGGATTTTAAAGAGGAGTGCAATCTTTATAAATCTCAGAAACTCATACATTCAACTGTTTTCAATTTAAAATAAACAAAATTCAGTACTGAATCTCAACTTTTTATTGATAATACCTCTTTAGAGAAGTAGCATTCCAAGGCTTGTTAACCAGCCTTCCGGCCATAGTTTCTAAGGTATATGCGCCTTTTCCTATGGCCTCTGCAATTCTGTATGGGCCTTCCCATGGTGGCATCATCTTCTTGACTATCCCCACCTTCTTTTTCAGAACCAGGTCACCTGGCCTAAAGTCTCTGTGCTTTACTTTCCTGTTATGGCTGTTCGCAAGTGTCTGCTGGTAAGAGGCGAGCCTCACCGCTGCTGCATCTCTTTTTTCTTCCAGCAAATCGAGGTTAAACCTCAGCATATTGTCATTATGCTTACGAATCCATGCCAAACTTCGAACAGTCGGAACTAAGTGCTCGACCGGTATAACTGCCTCGGTTCCATATGCCATGGTGAATGGACTTTCTCCAGTCGGTCTTCTTGGGGTCGTTCTGTAGGCCCATAGGACGTTCGGCAGTTCATCTAACCACCTTCCTTTCCTTTCTTCTAGTTTCTTCTTGATGTAAGTAAAGATTGTTCTGTTTGTAATTTCCACTTGTCCGTTGGACTATGGATGACTTACTGCTGCCAGTTTTTGATTAATTCCATACTCCTCCAACAGCTCTCTTACCTGCTTACTGTCAAGGTTGGTACCATTATCCATGACGATTGACCTCGGAACACCAAACCGGCAAAAAATATTACTCCAAATGAATCGTCTCACATGAGTTTGAGTAACGCTCGGGTACGGCTCTGCTTCCACCCACTTAGTAAAGTAGTCTGTAGCCAGTAACACATACTTGTTCTGAGCTCTGGCAGTTGGTAGAGGACCAACTACATCCATCCCCCATTGTGCGAAAGGCCATGGTATGGCCATTGCATGCAAGTCTTCAGGCGGTTGGTGAATCAGTGGTCCGAACCTTTGGCACTTATCGCACCTTCTGGACAATTCTTCCGAATCTCGCGACATGTTTGGCCAGAAATACCCTTGCGCCATTGCTTTGTGTGCTAATGATCTCCCCCCTGAGTGGTTTCCACATACACCTTCATGAATAGCTCGTAATATTTGTCGAGCCTCTGTGGGGGTAACACACTTTAAGTACGGTCCGGAAAAGGATCTTCTGTATAACTGGTTATGCACTACGGCATACTTTGCAGCATTCGCTTTGATTTTCCTAGCCTCATTTCTTTGTTCAGGCAGAGTACCATCTCGGATGTAAGTTATGATCGGATCAATCCAACTTGGCTCATATGGAATAACATTCACTTGCCAAGGATCTGAGCCTGAAGGTTCTTTGAAAATAGATGGCTGGTTTAATATTCCCACTGGAACCACCCTTGCCAATGTTTCTCCAGAACCCGAGGCGCTACATGCTAGCCTATCGGCATCTCCGTTATACTCCCTCGGAATTTGAATGAATTCAATTTTTTCAAAGTTCTGTGCCTCCCGCATAACAGCAGAACGATATGCTTCCATTGTTTCATCCTTGGTTTCATACTCACCCTTCACCTGCCGAACGACTAATTGTGAGTCACTGAAAACATTCAAATTCCTGACCTTAAGTTCTTTGGCAAGCTTTATTCCTGCCAGCAATGCTTCATATTCTGCCTCATTGTTCGTGGCTGCGAATTCAAGCCGAAGCGCTTGACTTAAGGCTGTACCTTCTGGCGTCTGCAGTTTGATCCCAATGCCTACACCCATCTGATTTGAGGATCCATCAACGAAGAGTTTCCATAAGCACTTACAAAGATCCTCCTCCACGTCTTCTGAATCACATTCTAGTAAAAAATCTGCCACCGCCTGCCCTTTGACTGCTGTTCTAGGTTCGTATGTGATATCAAATGAGCTTAACTCTATGGCCCACTTCGTCATTCTTCCGGAGAGATCTGGTTTGTGCAGGATTATTCTGATAGGGAAAGTGGTTAGAACGATAATAGGATGGGATTCAAAATAATGCCTGAGCTTTCTTTTCGCATGCACTAGCGAGAGTATCACCCGCTCTGCCTTTGAATAACGTCTTTCGGCCTCAGTCATTGTTTTGCTAACATAGAACACTGGATATTGCTTCCCTTTTGCGTAGCGGATCAGAACGCCACTTGTTGCGATGCTGGATACTCCGAGATACAAAAACAGCTTTTCGCCTGACTTTGGAGCTGACAGTACCCGAAGGTTCTGCATATATTTTTTCAGAGCAGTTCACGCTAGGCGTTGTTCATCTCCCCAAACCTGCCTGCCATGGCTTCGGATTGTGTCAAAAAATGGTTTGCATCGATCTGACAATTTGGAAATGAAACGGCTCAGTGCAGCAATCCGTCCCGTAAGTGTTTGCACCTCTTTGACTGTCGTCGGCTCGGCATTCTTAGTCAGAGCATTTGCTTGGGCAGGGCTTGCCTCGATGCCTCTGAGATTAACCACGTGCCCTAGGAATTGGCCTGAATTTACACCGAACGAGCACTTGGTCAGATTGAGCTTTATTCCATACCGTCGCAAAACATCAAACACGCCTCGAAGATGCTACACATGATCGGCTTTCTTCTTACTTTTGACCACCATATCATCAATGTAAGCCTCCACTGTCTTCCCTATTTGTTCCTAAAAAATCTTGCTAATGAGTCTTTGGTAAGTTGCCCCGGCGTTCTTTAGTCCGAACGGCATAATTTTGTAGCAATACGTCCTGCGTTCAGTAACGAAAGAAGTTTTTTCTTCATCAGCGGGGTCCATGGGGATCTGATTATAACCCGAATAAGCATCTAAAAAGGTCAAGCGTTCATATCCAGTTGTTGCATCCACCATCTGATCAATCTTTGGCAGCGGGAAGCTATCTTTCGGACAAGCTTTGTTTAAATTGGTAAAATCAATGCACACGCGCCATTTCCCATTTTTCTTTTGCACAACGACCACATTCGATAGCCAGTCGGGGTAGCGCACTTCTCTTACGAACCCCGCATCAAGCAGCCTATCAACTTCCTCGGCAATAATTCGGTTGCGCTCGGGGGCAAACCGTTGCTGATTCTGTTTTACAGGTTTTGCATTGGGATTAACGTTCAAGGAATGACAGGATACCGAAGGATCGATCCCGGGCATGTCCAGGTGACTCCATGCGAACACATCTACGTTTTGAGACAAAAAATCAACTAATTCCTGCTTTTCCTCCTCAACGAGTCGTTCCCCTACCCTAGTTGTCCGTTCAGGTCGGAACTGATCGATCTGCACATCAAGCAAGGGTTCTTCGGTTAAGCCCTCTGGTTCCTCCTCTCCTTTCTGCCTGGAGGGAGGCTCCTGTAATTGCTATCTCGGACTTACTGAACGAATGAGAGCTTTCCCCTTTCCGGCATATTTCAGCGTTACAGAGT